CCATTCAATTATCTAGTAATTATTCTTTTCATGACCTTTTATAGTCACCTCTATGTTTTTGATTTTGTTTGGTTGTTTGTGGGGGAGGTTGTTCTTTGTTTGTTTGTTTCCAAACAGGACCTCCTGTATCGCAAGATGGCCTTGAACTCACTATGTAGCTGAGGGTAATCTTGAACTTACGATCCCCCCACCTCAAAATCCCTTCTGCTGGGAACATAGGCATGCTTCCCATGTGTGACTTTGTGTTAGGTGGCTGTGGAATATGCATACCTGTCAACTTTTGATAACTGGCTATTCTTAACTTCAATGATGACTTAAGCTATGACCTTCTTTAAGTCACAAAGATTTCTTTAGGCTTAAATTCATCCTTTGGTAAAAATACTGACCCACTTCTATAATACACAGTGAGTATTAGATAATAGATTGTTCTGAAAATGTCAGGGTCCATAAACATTTTTACTAATGCGCTAAGCTATAAATACACACATTGAAAGAAGCAAGTCCTTAATTTTCACTTGTCAAATGCCAGCTTGAATGCTGATAACTATATTCACCTATATGACACTAGATTTTTAAAAAGAAATCTAAGAGTTCAGTTTGCCTTAAAAAAATAGCTAATACATATGAAAGGAACTTTTCAGTTTTATTTTGTTTAATTACCCTAATGCTTACAGCAAATACTTTTTCAGAATTTTAGGTGAGGGACTCTTAAATATAATCACACTCTTACATAAATTGTGAGTATAATTTTATAAGACCACTTAAGAATCTATCCATGTAGGCCTTTGATCATCTCTGAAAGCATACATCTCCTACTACTTCAAATGTTTAGTGGGCTTTTTAAGAATGTCTTCCTTCAAGCATGGTGAAATCTCTTAAATAGCAAATCTTTGGTCCCTACACTAGACCTAAGCAAAGTAAACCTAAGCTATTTGACACAATAGTCTGTAGCTACTTTCTACACCCAAAGCTTTCTCATCTTCTGGTTCCTAGTTCCTTCTCTCATTCCTAACATGGTTTCCTGAACTCAACCTCTCTCCTGTCTGCCCCCTCAAGACAGGTCCAGTTCCTCAAGGTTCACTGGAGATACACCAGGGACCCCCAGTGGGAAATCATAGCAGGCTGCCTCCCCTTCTGTGCATTGCCTTCCTGTGCAGGCACACAGCCTCAGGAGCCCAGCTGCAGGTACTGAGTCACAGATGCCCAGCCGCAGGCACCCAGGCACAGCCAATGTTAAGATGCTCTCTCCCACGCCCTGCCTCACTTCCTGCCTTCCAACCAAGAACTTCAGCTGCAGACCATGGGGCCACTCCAGATCCTGTAGCTCTCCTAAGCATCCTGTCCCCTGAAGGAGCTGATGCCAAATGTAGGTGCCACCAGTGCCCATCCAGCCCTATGCCAGCATCAGCAGCTATGCAATCTCCTTATGGCAACAGCTCCTCACTTGTCTGTGGTTCATCGACTTGACTGTATTAGGGATCTCTGAGGAAGTCTGGCAAACACTAGTGCCCCTGGGCTACCCACAGAGGGTTGGGTAGAATCAGGCTGTCTAGGACCAGCAAGGTACTCTAAGAACAATGACAACAAAGATCCTCGCATGCAATCAGGGCTAAAAACAGTGAGGAAATATAGATTAATCCAGAGGATATGTCTATCCATCTGAACACCTTTTCTCTCTCATGAGACTACAGTTCAAATGTCAACTATCCCCCACAAGTTCTTGTGTTTAAACACTAATGGTGATGGCGTTGGGAGAGGTTATGGAACCTTCGGATTTAGGAAATGTGTCACTAGCAGGTCTTGAAATTTATAGCCAGCCCACTTCCTACTATCCCGTGCATCCGGGAAATGTCATAAAGTATACAAATGGCTCCGACCACCAGAGCCAAAGCCCCAGCCACTGCGCCTACCATGAAACTGTGAGCTAAAAGAACTGTGAGCTAAAAGAAACCCTTCCCCTAAGTGGCTTCTTGTCTGGAATTTGGTTAAAGCAAAGAGACAAGTAACTGACCACTGGGTCAGTAGACGGCTCCACCAGTCACCTTCCACCAACACTCTGGGTCACTAGACAGTACCCCTAGTTGCCTTCCATCAGTACCCCGGGTTGTTAGTGTGGGCACCTGCTTTTGATTGTCGAATGAATGAATGATGACAGTCATCCTTGGAGAAAGACGACCTCTCTTCTTCATCTTTCACCAAGGACGTTTGGGTTTATCTTTGTGTTTATCGCCAACTGGTAGACCTGGAATGCCAGACTGTTTACTTCTTCCTTGGCTGAACCAGTGACTGTCCCCTCAGCCACTCACTCACAAGCCCACATTCAGACTTACCGCCACTCAGAATGTCTCTCCTTTCCTAGTTCTCCCCAGAGTCCGTTTCCAGGCATCCTCGGCCAGCTCACTCTCCTCTTTCCCCTCCCTTCTTCTATCTCTTCCTTTCACAGTCACGCTTCAAGCCACAGTAGTTTTCATCCTCCGACACTTGTTCTGCCATCCCCTGTCTACCCCTCACTCGTGTCCCTCTGCTCTCTCACCCCAGGGGGTCACAGATGTCTTTGTCCAGGGAGGTCTCTAAGTTTATGATCACCTTACTACTTCACAGCTTTCCTTTCCTGAAGTCATTTTCTCTCTCAGTCACGCTCCCCTCATACCACTGACCACACTTTTTAGTGTCCTTTTCAGGTTCTTCCTCTGCCACCAGACTTAAATTGCTTCTGTCCCAAAGGCCCCCGGCTGTTCCCATAATCACATTTAAATTATTCTAATCCTGTTTATTGCTTCAACTGTTACTATTAAGCAGATGATTTCCAAAACTTCATCGCAGACCTTTATCCTGAAGTATGGATTGAATGTAAGATTATCTCATAGTCCTCTCAAATCCAATATGTTCAAAATATAACCCATTGTCTTCTTATAGAAACAATATTCTTCTGCAAAGTCATGTGTCTTAAATCCCATCCTGTGACTTTAAGAATGACCAATGGGCTGGGGAGGTGGCTTAGTGGATAAAGTGCATGCCCTGGAAGTGGGAACCAGAGTTCCGACCTCCAGAACCCACATACAAGCCAGGGTCATCTTCTGTAGTCCCAGAGCTGAAGAGACAGAGCAGGGGACCTCAGAGAAATCTGACTGGCTAGACTGCAGAAATTGGCGAGCCTAACTTTCAGCAAGATGCCCTGCCTCAGTAAATCAAGTACAAAGGGATCAAGGAAGATCCCACAGTACCAATGAATGCACATGCACTTCATGAAAATACACATGTGCATATACACGTACGCATACACACTATGAAATATACAGATGGGGAAAACTCCCTAAGAACACCAATATAAATGTACAAATGCTGCCTTGGGATCGCTCGCCTGAGAATCAGCTGAGCAGAGCTTTTATGGAACATACACCCCAAATTAATTTCTTCCCTAGACTCCCTATCTGGATATAAGTACTGTTTTATCCTGGTATAAAAAAAAAATTCATTTAGAAAGCAGACTTTCTGAAAGACCAGAGTTTTAGAATGGAGATTGACCTCGTACTGCTCTGGGAGGTGGTTGACTGGGTTATGTACAGCTGTTGTTTCTTCGTGTGGTGTTGGCTTCAAGTCAGCAGGGTGGGCAGTTAGAGAGAAGCTTTACCTCGTGTGGGTAAGTTGGAACTCAAGAGGACAGACCAGAATGAGCCTCCATCTGCTGCTACACTAAGTTTTCTGCTTCCACAGTGTGGGTGACCTACAACAGAAGCCAACACCCTCTATCCGCAGTCTAAACCCTTATCTGGCTTAGGAGTTGAAGAAACTGAAGAGGTTTCTGAGCCCAAACTGCTCCCTCATGCCAAGAAGGTGAGCCAGCACATCCCTGACTGGGGGGTATGAGCTGTGGCAGTGCCTGACCCTACACCAACTTTCCAAATAAACATGGCTGCCTCTTCATGTCCTTCTTCCCAATGGTGCGCGCGCGCGCATGCGTGCGTGCGTGCGTGCGTGCGTGCGTGTGTGTGTGTGTGTGTGTGTGTGTGTGTGTGTGTGTGTGTGTGTG